CCCAAGGGCTTTGTGCAAATAGATGAAGCGGCGTGGGTCGGGGAGCCCTGGGCCCTTGCCGGGGCGATGGCATTGCCTGTTGCTGCAGGTGGCAGCCGAGGCTTTGCCATGACCCCGCGCTTGCTGCCAAGCCAAGTGCCAGCTGCAGCTGTGCAGCCTCCTGGCTGTTCCTCCTGCCTCCGTCCCCTTCCCAGCTCCTGGCTTCAACTAGACTGGAAAAATAATGCAGGGTCCAGGGCTGGGGCGAGAGCACTTAAATAGGGATTTGTATTTACCAGACCATGCAAGAGCTTTGTATCCACACAGTATCTTGGATTATTACACTTAATTGAGGCTTACTTTTCGGTGGAGCAAATGACATGGGCAGTTCAAGTGGGCTTACGTCCTCCTGGTATGGCAAAACAGGCTCCTGACCCCCTGCAAAGCTCCTCAAGCACAGACTGCACTGTCAGCGAGGAAGGCATCGCCTGTCCCTGGAAATGCAAACTGGGGGCACTTGACCCGTGCTGACAGAGAGGGTCGGGCTGTGGGCACTGGCTCTGCAGAGTAAGTGCTAGAGCCCAACACCTTGTCCCCACGGCAAATAATAATTTACAGTAAAAGACGATTGCAAATTCAAATTAAAGAAGAAAAAAATTTCAAGTGGTACTTTACAGGAGGCATGATCTCAGGAGAGCTGGGCACGTTCAGCCATCAGTTCTGACAACACTGTTGTACAGCTTCCCATAAATGTGGTTGCATAAATACCTATTTTGGACCATAATTTCAGCTCCGTCCCCAAGCCCAGCACCCAAAAGATGAAGGCCAGCAATTTGCCATGAGCTATCAAAGTCCGCTGACCAGAAACGACCAGTTCTGAACTGTTCCTCCTGGTGTCTGGCCGAGGGCAGGTGCCAGTGCCAGTGCGTGTGCCCTTGCGGTGTGCCCGGAGGCCAGCCCGTGCTGTCGTGGTAAACTGGGTACGCTTGGCACTTCAGCATCACTCAGCTCCAAAAGCAGCAGCTTAGGCTGTCAGGAAATGATAACCGCTCACATGGCTTGTAAACAAGTTCGTTAAACAGGTCGTTGGCTTCTTCAGGTGGCTGCTTGGTCACACCAGGGGAGCGCTCCAGGCAGCAGCAGGACTTAGTGCTCGACCGGCCGGAGCCCTCCCTGGGGCGGCGGTGACCTGGTGGGTGCCGGGGGCTGCATGGCTGGAAGGGAACCGGGACAGGTCAGTCCTCGCGGCATGCATGTGTCGGCTGTGGACAGCCTGCGGCTCTGGAGGGGAGATGCTCCAGGGCTGACCCCCCAGCACTGATGCTCTGCCTGGGGGGCAGCAGCCTCCGCCCCGCTCCCCCTGCACCAGGGGAAGGGATGAGCTGGGAGCACTGGCGCCGCAGCCGGGCTCCGTTGCTTCATGTTGGAGAAGCATTTTTAGGTGGCTGCTTGCAGCCACGGTGTGGAACAGGTCACTTGTCAGGGTCTGTTACTGACCTGGGACCAAGGAGGGGTGCTCAGCCGATGGCAGACGAGGTGTACCACCTGCAAAGCAAGTCAGACCGTCCTGCCACCCATCCCCGCAGCAATGCTGCGCAGCACCCACGGGGGAGTTGCTCTGAGCCAACAGGTTCACTCACGGTTTGGTTTGGGCAGAAATAAGGTGTGTGGTTTTTCCACCATGGTCGGTGCATGGGATCATTTTGTTCCACTGTGCCCAGAAAAGAGTGGGCTTTGTGTCCTGGCTTTACCGTGGGCCCGTTTGAGGTTAGGCTGTGCTGTCAGCCTTTTCTTTAAACCTCCCTCGTGGCTGGGGTGGCGGTGAACAAATCATACCAAATGAGGGCCTCGGGAAGAGACAGGCGCTACACTATGTAACTGGGTTTAGTTGCCAGTACCGCTACCAAAACCACCCCACCAAGGCATGAGCCACAGCCTGAGCATGGGTACCACAGCATCGCTCGGCAGCGGTGCCTTATGCCTTAGGATTCCCCCACCAAGTGGTACTCACTGGGGCACGGCGCCTGTACCTTACCTTCCCAACAGGTCGGTCCCATGTACCCGTTCAGACAGAGACACTGGCCGTTGCGAGCGTTACAGTAGGAGTTGCTGGGAGCACACTGGCAGGTCAGGCTGCAGTCCGGGCCGTACCTGGTCGGTCGGCAGTCTGGTGAGGGGCAGAGAGGTGCTTAGACTGCGGCAGGCTCAGCCTACTTCTGCGCCCGAGCAGAAATGCTCAGACATTTCCTGCTGTGCAACAGGCAGAGCTTGCAGCGGAGACTGAGCGTGAGATAAGACAGAGAGTTTTTTGCCTTCCCCCCAACCCCAGCCTGCTCTTGAGCTCTGATGATACAGGCCATCGGAGCATCCCAAGGCCGACAAGGTGTTCCTTGTGCATTTGATCCTCAGCCTTTTGACTCTGGCGATCTAAATACAAAGGCATTGGAGGCTGGGGGAGCATTTGCATTTAGATCTGACTACAAAGAGAGGATGGAAAGGTGACTACCACTGTTCAGGTACTCTCTTACTCTGAGGGGACACACACAAAAAAGAAAGCCCCCTTCCATGAGAATTCAGCTCCAAGAAGAGGGGTTTTGCACCCATTTTAGGACTGGGCTTCTAGCCTACTGTCAATGCCCCTTTCTCACCATCCCAAGCCGTAGCTCAACTCACCCGAACTGCACTTGGGGCCGGTTTTCCCCGGGGGACACAGGCAGCGCCCCGTGGCTGGGTCACAGGGCACATTGCCGACACAGTCGCAGAGGTGCTGGCATCCCTCACCGTATGTTCCTTCCTTGCAGCCTGTTTTGAGAGGCGAGATACGGCACACGTGCTGTGAGACTGCGCATGGGCTCCCGCCTGTTTCGAGGGAAGCCAGAGGAGGACAGGGTACCTGTCTGACAGCGCTCGCCACGGAGCCCAGCGGGACACTGGCAGCGACCGGTGGCTGGGTCACAGCCTGCTCCGTGCTCGCAGTCGCAGCGCTCCCGGCAGCCAGCTCCATGGAATCCCGGGGGACAACCTGGGATGGAGCCGGGTGGAGAGCTCGTTAAAGCACGGGTGGGTTGAACGCAGGCTTAGCTGTAGACGGCCTCTGCAGCAAAGCCTCCATCAGCCCACCAGAGAGAAGCAGTGCGCCTTGCTCGCTGAGAAGTGCCTAAACGCCTGCAGCTGTTCTCAGTGGCCCAGGACGGGGCTACCAGCTGCCTGCAGCGAGCCTTGGCTGCAGAGCACAGCATTTCAGCTCCGAAGCATTTGCTTGGCTACCCAACTCTAAACTGCGCGGCGGTGATGTGCGTGCTCAGGTGCCTTAGCACGGCCCCTCTGTACCCAGAGAATAGGAACTACCTTCTCTGCGATGACTTCTGATACCTGGGAAGGCTTCACTGTGACCATCAGTAAGAAAGGAAGAGCCCATCGGTGCTCACAGCCACGTGTGTGACTGCAGTGGGTCACACCTCTGTCCTATGGTCCTGCTCGCTGGACGAGCTTTAGAAAACCACCCCTCCCTCTCAAAGCCGAAGGTGTTTCCACTGCCACAACTCACGGTGTTCGCAGTTGTTGGCCGGCGGAGCAGCGGCAGGCGCCCGTCCCCGGGTCGCAGGTTGCATTGTGCAGGCAGGCGCAGCGGAGCTGGCAGTTGGCACCGTACCTTCCCGGTGGGCATTCTGCAGGGAAGAGGCGGCAGTAGAGTTGCTCAGAGGCCAGCAAGCCGGCCCTGGCCCTGCTCCTGCACTTCAGAGGGCCATGACGTGATAAGGTACAACCGGCACAGGTGGCAATAACAGAGACCGGACCCAGTATGAAACAGACTGAGTGAGTTCCACGGTTACTGGGCTGGTGCAGGACAATGCAACCAAGTCAGGTTTACCTAATTCGCAGGACTTCCCCGTCCACCCGAGCGCACATGAACAGGAGCCATCGGCCGTATCACACAGCCCCCCGTTGCGGCAGGAGCCGGGCTGCTCGACGGCACTTTTTTAGCCTGCGGGACGAGAGGCGGTGGCAGTGGGCATGCGGACTGTGGCACGGGCCGAGCAGGAGCATCCAAGCACAGGCAGAGGTCTCAGGGCAAGGAAATCGGTTCCCAGTCAGGACCTTTTCCAACCCACTGCCCAAAATGCTTGCTTGTCCTGATGCACGACCCTGCAGCTAATATTTACCTTGCTCACAGGTGGGACCAGCTCTTCCTGGAGGGCAAACACAGTCTCCAGTGACGGGGTGACAGGTAGCACCTTCCCCACAGGAGCACACCTGTGCACAGTCCTTGCCGTAGTGACCAGCAGGACATCCTGGCGGGAGGAAAACCTTGAGCTGCCTTGATCACGCCATAGCACGTTTGAAGGCTAGAGAGGAAAGACTTTGTAATGGCACATGAGCAAAGCCTTGCGGGGGGCAAGAGGAGCCTGCAGCCCTGTCACCAGCCCACAGTGTGGCTGGCAGACCAGGCAAAGAGCTTTTAGGTTTCCTTCTGCTGCAGGAACGACACATTTTTAGCAGAGAGACAGCAATATAGTGATGGTATGATGCAAAGGCTGATGTGTGGGCCTTTCATAGTGGAGAAATCATTTTGGCAGAAAGGAAATGGAGCAAGAAAATGCTTTTGTGGTTAAGACAGATGGCAAACAACTGGATTCCCGTAGTAAGGCTGGCACTGCGTACGCGAACCTCCGTACTGAAGCAAGGAAAGCATTGCAGGTTGTGAAGTGGGACAAGGAGCTCTTTTTGGGCCAATGCATGAGTCAGGCACTGTAACGCTTCTCATCTCCCACGGGGTCAGCAACCCAGCTGTGTGCAGGATTTGCACCTGCCACCATTCACCTCCTGCTGAGAAAACTCCTCGGGCACTCACCGATACTGCAGTCAGCACCAATGTAACCGGCTGGGCAGTGGCACATCCCGGTGGTAATGTCACACAGGCCCCCCTTCTTGCACTTGCATGGCCTTTCGCAGTTAGGGCCGTACCACCCAGGGGAGCACTCTGCGGGGAAAAAAAAAAAAAGAAACAATGGCCTTGATGCCTAAAAAGACAAGAACAAGGTCCAAACACCCTGGAAAAATCCACCACGTGGATTCATACAGCCATTTCATAGGCGAGAAAGCCAACAGCTCTGCTGGAAGCGGGTTTGTGCCAGGCTGGCACAGGCGATGGGTTTCTGATCCACTTTGTAGTACAGAGCTGCTCCAAAGCCCTTACGAGCCAAACAGCTACAGCGATGCGCCGAGGGCACGCGTGTCACACACATGCATCCCTTCCATGAGCTGCTTGTGTCAGATGTGACCCAAGTATCACTGACAACACAAGCTCCTGCAATCCGTGCTCAGGTGCCTCTGCCCTCCCGGCGGCACACGCTGAAGCGCAGGAACGCGACTGATGCTCCCAGGCGCCGGCTGCTCAGCAGGAATGGAAGAAAAACCCAGAAAGCATTTCTAAGTAATCTCATGGCAAACAGGCAACAACGCCGAGGAGCTTCGAACTCTTCAGAACCTCTCTGCTGAAGATATAGCTGGTAAATATCCCACAATTCAAAAGGAAAATGGCAAAAAGAATGGCCTGAGCGCAGATGAGAATGACATTTTGTTTACATGAACTCCTACTTGCAAATTAGTCAGCGAGGGATACCGCAGAGGTCAGAGCCTTGTGTGCAGGGCCAGGCTTGGACAAGGGAGCAGGAAAACACTTGCCTGGGCAGACTCAGCTCCCGCGCTGTAAGAGCTGGGCAGCGGTTAAGCACAGCATGAGAAAAGACCTCAGCCACGCTGATGAGGACAAAGACAACCACGGCAAGAAACCAGGAGAGACAGCCCATCAGAATCTGTGCTTTGAAGCCCCTCAAGCCAGCTGGCTGCTGGCCGAGCCGAGGCTTCTCCGGCAGTCAGCCCAGTGCCATCCCCCGCGCCGGGGGCAATGGCTCGGCACCGACATCGCCGGTGTGACACCACCTTCATGACCTGCAAAGGTCCGTGATGCAGCAGGGGAACAGAGTGCGCACTCACCCAGCTGGCAGGTGGGGCCGTGGAAGCCGGCAGTGCAGACACACGCCCCGGTGACCGGGTGGCACTCCTGGGTGGCTCCGGCACACTGGCAGATCTGACCACAGCCCTCACCGAAGGTCCCTGGCAGGCAGGCTGTCAGGAGAGAGGGCACCAAGGTGACTCAGATTCACTTAGCAGGAGCTATCCCACCACTCTGTGCAAGACTTTTTTCCCCCTTTTTATTTTAAGCCAGGATTTAGGAAGCCTTTTATGACAGTGAAAGTTGTCTGCCACCCAAAAAGCAACGGGACTGTCATGCAAATGGTTCCCTGACTCCAGGAAAGACTTGAATTGAAAAGAAAACTGAGTATTTAAAGGCATTAGATGCTTTTTGC